TTCCTGTGTCTATTTTAATATTCTCAATTGGCGAAGCTATCCCCAGTTATAAAACAGGGGACTACAGTACAAAAGAAATCACCAAATGCACCCAAACCTTCAAATGATACTGTCAAGTATACTAAGAACCCCAAACCACAAATGTTTGTGGATGATAAAAGTAGCTCCTATTAGCGTATCGTATGCTAAATCAGGACATTAGATCTTTCACAAGAAAAGCATGAAGTCTCAGAAACTTATCACAACGAAAGCACTAAAAGAGTAATAAGAAAGTATGACAAACAATTCCCTTCACCGCCAAAATGCGCGCAAAAGGTTGATGAAATACTAACTAGCTCTCAGCAGTCTAAGGTTCTCAGCTAAATAAATGCAAGAACGACGCAAAAGACAACAAACAGAAGCAGCCTCTTCAGGTAGTAATCTTGTTGTCCTTGACCTGCATACTGAGGGTACCCATGAGCATGGCCACCATGAAATGAAGTACCAAATCCATAAGGAAAACCAGTTTCGCCACTATACATGGCCCCATCATGAAACCCATGCAACTGGAATTTAAACAAGGATAGTATAAACCCACCAAATGCTGCTGAGTGCTGACGATGTGAAATTCCCGAATCACGTTGTTGCCATGGGGGATAGCCCTGCCAACCCATGGTCAAAGTCTTATCACCAGGAATAGATTTTGATCGCGGGTCAGTTGATGTCTTTCATTTCCCATTTAGAGGGACCAACTTTTTCTCCTCGATTAGGGCCTGCACACTGGGCATTCTCGTGACTGGGAATGAAAGTGTAGCCATTCGTAAAGACAGGGCCAGCAGAAAAGGTGACCATATAAAGTAATTATAGGATCTTGTGCTAAGTCAAAACAAATATTGCATTCAAAATTGCCAGTGTCATTGTAGTTATTGTTGCTGGAGCAGAAGGGCTTGGGGTAACCTGCTTGTTGATTCCCCAAACCCATTTGCCATCACCTTCAGATTCCTCCATAAGCCATATCTAACTGATTATACATGACAACTTTCACACACACACACACACACACAGATATTGTCCAACACATTTTGGTGTTTTGGGTGCGGCCACTCGAGTTTAAGATGTTAATTGTCATATTTTCGAATCAAAAGCAAGTCCGTGATCTCCAAGCCATCGAAATGCAACTTCAAATTGATTCAGGAAAAAAAAAAAAGTAGAATTCAAAGTGTAATAAAGCGGCACCGGTGGCGCGCGAGATTCAATCCCTAACTACTATACATTTCCATCTGCCGCAAGACTAGGGGCCTGAATGTAAAAATAAGCACTAGATTTGTCCCACGCCATCCACGAAAATATTTAATAGTTGAAAGATAAAGACAAAATAAAAAATTTAAAAACAATTTATTATTCTAATTGTGTTATTTCAACCTAAATTAAAATTTAAACAACCACCTATTTTATTTTATAATTTATTACTTTAAAATTAAATTTATGTAACCTTTCATTTTATTTTACAATTAAATTATACCTCTCCATTTCTTTCTTTCTTTTTTTAATACCAAACAGCACGGCCAGCCTAAGGCTGATTGAGATTATTAGAATCAACAAGTAGTAAGTCTAAAATATCAAAAGAAGGAATAAAAATCCAATGAAACTTAGGCTAGCTACTCAATGCGAGCTTTGAAAGTGATCAATCATTGTATTTCCTTCTTAGTTTATATATCGAATGGTTATATTCCAATCTCTCGACAAAGTTCGATGGATTTCTTCAACAAGCCTGGTATGTTGATGGAGAGGGCTATAGTTTTGTTGAACCAAATGCATTGCCTTAAGACTTAAGAGAATCACTCTCCACTATTATTCTTTGGTATCTCAAGTCCCAAGCTTCTTTCAGACCAAAATAGAATAGCCCAAAGCTCGCTCTCTAAGTTATCCATGCCACATCTAGGGTGAGCAAAACCGAATCGAAATTGAAAATCGAATCGAATCAAATTGAATTTTGTCTATTTAATTCGGTCTATTTGATTTTTCGGTTCAATTTGATTTTTTTTATTTTAAATATTTCAATTGATCGGTTCGATTCGATTAATAAAATTTAAAATCGAATAGACCGAATCGATTGAATTACATATAATTTATTAATTTATAAATTATATTTAATTTATAAATTATTTTATTTTATTTTTATTTTTTATTTTAATAAAGAATAAAAAATAATAACATCACTTGAAATCCTATTTTTTATAAATTATTTATTTAATTATCCATGCCTTTATAATATTTAAACATTATGTCATATGAGTGTAATTAAAATAGGCTCATATTGAAAAAATGAATGGAAAAAAGGCCCAATTTTATAGTGTTGTTTGTTTTAATATTTAAAAAAATGGGCCCAATTTCAATAGCCCAATATAAAACCAAAAAACTAAATTAACCGACCGAACTGAATTATCAAATTTTAGTTCAGTCCTTGTTCGGTTCGATTCGATTTTCATTTTCAGTATTATTCGATCGATTGGTTCTGCATGTTTTGAGATCGAACCGAACCAACTGATACTCACCCCTACCTACATCTCCATGCATAAATCTAGTGAGGTATAGTCTAGAGTTATTTTGGATTACCCCTCCACAATCTCCCTTAGAAAAGGCTCCATCTACATTAACAAGAACTTAGTCAGAAATTACCTTTTTTTAATTATTAATTATAAGGCATCTTAAAAGAATTTTTTAGTTATTAATTACTTTTTTTAATATTATGCCTATTTAAACCTATTAATTACGATAGATGATGTAATGTAAAAATACATTTTTTTATTTAAATAATAGTAAAATTTAAAGTTTATTTTATTTTCAAACAAAGTAATAACTTAATTATTATTTATTGGTCACAATAAATTAGTTAGAGTAATTGCCTTGTAATAGAGCCACACTAATACATATTACACACACATTTTTATGTATGCTGTAAAGTACCAATATTTTAAATTACATAACATATCTATATTAATATTGTATCTAATATTGATGCTCATTGATAATTCTTCGTTTCGTATTTGTAAAGTATCAAAATAATATTTTTAAATTTTAAAAAAATTAATTTTTGATCCATATCTAATACTTCTATATTGCTTATCGATACCTGAAAACCAATTTTTTTAAAAAAAACTACATTTATTAAAAGTTGCAATATTAAAATTTTTATTGCTAATATCATTTTTTGATTTGTTTTTAAAGTCAAGTATTAGATTTTTCTTAAAAAATAAGTTTTGGATATAATAAAAGAATAAATATTATATTTTTATTAATTATAAAAATGTGGAAATGTAATCTTATGATGATCAAGGAGAAGATATTGATACTACACCTACTAATAAGGACTAAGTGGTAAACAGTTAGATATAAATAAAACAAAAATATAATTAATAATTACATTTTACTTGATATTATTATAAACGACTGTATATGTATGCTAACTTGAATATTTTTTAAATTAAAATTATATTTTTAATATTTTTTATAAATATATATATATATATATACACACACGTATTGAAAATGTAATGTATTTTATATTTTTAAAAATTAAAATATCAACATATCAAATATGTATCTTATCTAACAGGCACATCAGTATCTCTGCAATATAGTATGTATGTATTGATTTCTCAATCCCCACGGAGCACATCAGCAATTGGTAATTAAGCGCCATACGACCGGCAAATACATCATCACATCCGCGATGGTAATTGAATTACCACAAATATGGTCCCACATAGATGAAGCCCCCCCTGCCCAGCCATATATACGAAGTTGGAGATCAAAGCTGTTTCACTGGAAAAACTTATACAAGCAATTAGATAATTGAATAATGATTACTGATTGATCACAATATTTAGAAAAATTATAGGGAAAATAACAAATAAAAGCTTTGTAAGAGTATTAATGTTGAATTAAAACTTTTTAATACTGATGTTCTCAAATTTCAACACCCGTTTTATCATGTTTTAATATTAACATTTTTAATTTAATATTAATATTTTTATAAGGTTATTATTTGTCATTCACCCAAAATTATAACCAGGTGAAGTAATTGCCAACTATCAGTGTGCCGGCATTAGCGCAGGCTAGTCAAAGTCAAGCTGAACCCTGTATTCGGGTGGAGTAATTAATAAGGGTCGTAGCAATAGAATTTAAAGCCCCCGTTTTTTTTTTCTTTTGGGTGGGGGTGTGAACTTAATTTGAGTGGTGAAATACAATACAGCTTCCAGTTTCAGCGAACTCGTTTTCATTCTCTTTTGTTGTTGTTGTTGTTGTTTTTTTTTTTTTTTTTCTAAAACTCGTTTTCATTCTAGAATCTGGACATTTGTTACAAGCAGTAATTTAATACTGCCCACATATCGTATGTCACCATCTCTCTACAAAGATCGGGTTTGCGTGTTCATCACTGTAATAAAATTTGAACCAAATTTAAATGGCAAATTTTATAAATTATTATATATTTTTATTATAATAAAAATATTCAAAAAATTATAAAATAATTTTAATAATTTTTTATTTTTAATATGATATAGATTTAATTCAAAAGATCCAATTTAATATTAAAATTTTTATAATTATTATATATATATTAATTATTTAGATGCACTCTGTACAATTTATATTTAATTTGGTGTTAATCTGATCTTTAAAGTGTACATTTAGATAATCAATATATATTAATTATAAAAATTTTAATATTAAATTAAACCTTTTAAATTAAATTTAGACCATATAAAAAAATTATTTTTAAATTTGAATCAAATGATTCAAATTTTATCATAGAACCCAAAACCATCCCCTCCCTACAAACCCCATGTCAAAATGTCACATTTCTTCTAGACGATGACGTGACCAGAAAAAGAGAAATATGTATATAATATTCAATCCTTGGGGCAGAAGACATGCAGAATGCTTGGGATGGGTTTCCAAATATTTTATCCCTATCGTGCAAACTGTCCACCCCTATATAAACAAAACAAAACATTCTAAAATTCAAGCCTCTGAAGCGGAGGAACAGAGATGCAATTTATATTCTGGTCAAAATGAAGAACACGACTTCCACCCGTCCTTCCCAAAAATCCATCCCCCCTGGAAGACATCACTGATATATTCTTATACTGCACAGAGTCGATCGGAAAGCCGAATCAAGATTTTGCAAAGAGATCATTCTGCGATCACAGTCTCAGTTTCCTTGTTCATCGCAAGCTATCTATGTAATGGCAGGTACTGCTGTAACGCAAACCCTCAGATACTGGATGACAGAGCACCCTATAACCGTATCGTTCCGATGGAGCCCCACCGAACTATGGTTTTCCACTTGGTCTTTCATCATCAACGCCATTGCTGCTTACATCGCCGCCGCTATTATTCTGCATGCCATCCTAACGATCTGCCGTCGCCGCCGTCCCGTTCCACTGGGCCCCATCCCCGCCGTCCACAGCCTCGCCATGGCCTTCATCTCCGTCGTCATATTTCTCGGCATGCTCTTATCTGCCGATGCCGAAATTCAAAGCAGCCGGTGGTTATGGCGGCGAACCAGAACTACCCCTTTCGAATGGGTCCTCTGTTTCCCACTCGGTATTCGTCCCTCTGGACCAGTCTTCTTTTGGTCCTACGCTTTCTATCTCTCTCGCTTCCTCCATCTGTTTCGAACATTCTTCACCATTCTTCGTCACCGGAAGCTATCCTTTTTCAGGCTGTTCAATCACTCCATCCTTCTGCTCACCTCGTTCCTCTGGCTCGAATTTTCGCAGTCATTTCAGGTATCGGCCATACTAATCACCACTCTGGTTTACTCCTTAGTGTACGGGTACAGATTCTGGGCGGAGATCGGATTGCCGTCGAAGTGCTTCACGTTCACAGTGAATTGCCAGATGCTGTTGCTGGGTTTTACTTTCGGGGGTCATGCCGGGGTACTTGCACTTCATTTCCTGAGAGGAGGGTGTAATGGGATTGGAGCTTGGGTGTTCAATGCTGCGCTTAATGCTGCGATTCTTTCACTGTTCTTGAGGTTCTATGTTAACGCGTATCGCCGGAGATCAGTCACCGTTGCTTCAGCGTCTCGGGACGGCGAGGAAGCCGGGAAGCCTGCAACGACTTGCGCTGAATTGTCAAAAATAGAATTTGGACGGCACGACGGAGAAGAGAGAAAAGAATCCTAGACTTGAAATTTTTTTTTTCCCAGTTGGGTCTTCGATGTTCCTTCGCCGCCCTTAATTTTTATTTCAGTAAGGGGAGTTTGACCCGCTCCTCCATCTCCATCAATTGTAGATAAATACTGTTCTGGGCACAGAAACTCCAAGCCCTGGTCATGGTTAACCGATAAGTAAAAAAATTCAAAATTGAACGTTCCTGCTTCAGATTATGTAACTCACATTTAGATTCGCACCCTCAAACATTTATTATGAATTTTTCTGTGCTGGCTGTAAATTGCACCCTTCGCTTGTTAAAATTTTTATATTATATATATATAGTTGCTAAAAAAAGAGGCCATTTTATTTATCATATTATTATATATAAGATATACTCTTTCCATAATATAATATAAGTCATTTTTTAAAAGAACTCTTTAGTTTAATATATAGAGTGGCGCTAGACAATTTTTATAAACTTTTTACATTTATATCATTGCTTTAATGAAATTGATGTAACTAGTGAATGTATAACTTAAATATTCCACTCAAAAATATAAATAACAAGATATGAACATTTTTTAAAAAATAAAATATTAACTAATTTTAAAAAATATAAATTAATTAGAAAAAATGACATTAAAATCTTTTTAAATTATGTAAATAACATTTTAGTCGCTTAAAATGACATAATTCTCTTAAAATATTTAAGAATTTTTATGTTATTAAGAAATTAATGTAAGAAATCAAATTGTCCTTGATTGAAATAAAAATTCTAAACTTCACAATAAAGACTTGCAAGTTGTTGTTGAATTTTTGTGATTTAAAAAAAGTTATAAATATTAGATTAAACTTATAAATGATAAGTAATATTTATAACAGTTGAAGAATATCAGTATTTTAAACGTGAACTTGAACATTGTTGTTAAATTCTTGTGAATTTAAAAAAATTATAAATTTTATAATAAAACTTGTGAATGAAAATTGATATTTGCAATACTTAAAAAAATATTAGAATTTCAATGCAAAGTTACGAATTGCTTTTAAATTCTTACAATTTTTAAAAAATTATAAATTTTAAAACAAAACTTATGAATTAAAGATGCAAAATATATATTTTGAGTTTTAAGATTGTTATTTCAATCAAAGACAATTTGATCTTTTATATTAATTTTTAATAAAAAAATTTTTAAAATTTTAAAAGAATTATGACATTCATTTACATAATATAAAAATATTTTATTATCATTTTTTAATTAATTAATAAGTACTTATATTATAATTAGGAAGAGAATAGTAAATATGGGCAGCAGCAACGAAGATGAGGATCCACACGAAGAAACGTTCTAGCAAGACGCGAAAGCGTGACGTGACGTGCAGTGTATCAAGTCCGATTAAATAAAAAAAATTACATATAGACGCACAGAGATAATTTATTTATAAATAAATTTTATAAAATTTAAAAATTACAACTGAATTTTTTAAGACTTAAGTGTAGTTTAAAATTAAAATATAAAGATAATACTATCCTTATTAAAAATATTGAAGTTATCATTATAAAATATTAAAGTAATAATTATAAATTACCGATAAATTATTTGTAAATAATTAATGTTAAACTTTATTAATAATGCATGATTAATTTAATTATTAGATATGTAAAGTTAAAATTATAGAAAGTTAAATTAAAAGTAGTAAATTACTGATTAAATAATTATAAATAATTAGTATTAAATTTATAATACATAATTAGTTTAATTATTTGATATGTGAAGTTAAAGTTGTAAAAAATTAAAATGATAATTATAAATTATTCATGAAGTAATTGTAAAATATTTGATTAATGTAATATATTTTTAATAGATGTATTATTATTTTTATACCCTAATTTTAAATAACATTTAAGTCTCAAAGAACACAGTTGTGATTTGTAATTTTACGAGATTTATTTGTAAATAAATTTATTCATGAGACTTTTATATAATTTTGGAAGAACTACATTAAAATCTTACATAAAAAAATTAATTATTACAAGATTTAATGACAATTGAACTAAGAAAATTGACAATTAATCATGTGGTCAATCTCCTTAATTCAATTGTCACCAGATCTTATAATAATTAATTTTTTACTTGAATATAATTTTTTCTATAATTTTCTCTTAAATAAATTCTTCATGCATAAAATGAAAGGATTTGAATTCGGTGACTATACTTAATATAGATATTGAGTGCTTATACTATCTAACCTCGTTAAAATTCAGATTAATAGTTTAGATAAACTCACTCATTTACTAACCTTAAGTAAAGTTTAAGTTTATAACCATTGATTTAAATTTTAAATATTTATATCAACACTTAATATTTATATTAAATACAGTTATTAAATTTAAATCTAAAATGAAAGGGTTAAGTTTCCTTCTAATTAATAGCAGCTCCACATCCATCCTTTTAAATTGGATTTCTTTTCGGTACAATGCACGAAAATATTTTAATATTTTAAAATATTACAAGTGTCACATCATCTTTTAAAATATATTTAAAAAACATATTAATACTATTCATCTACTGTAGAATAGAGGCAAATACTTTTCGAAATATTATATTGTACGTATAAAAAAGTAAAAGCATCAAACGTGCATATTATTTTTATTATCTTTTAAAAAATATAAAATATTTTTTTAAAAATTAAATATTAAAAAATATAAAATATTTTTAATCTTTTAAAGTATAATCATTATCTTTTTTAAAAAATATCCTTATTAATAATGACTTTATATTTATTGTAGAGAGTTTAACATAGATAAATATAAAAGTATAGGGTTAATTTAAAAGTGACTAACTACTTTATTGGGGTGAGATTCGATTAAAAGGGAGAAAGTATGAGCTTCATGTATACCATTATTTTTTTACTATAAACTTTATGCTTATTTTTATGTTAAATTAAAAAATACTGTTCATCATACTAAATTTTTAATGGGACAAACACTTTTTATGTTATTATTTTATAAATATAAAAAATATAAGCATCAAATGATAGGTTTTACATATGTTATTTTTATTATGGCTCTTACATTTACAGTCATTTTTCACAATAAACATTATATTTATTTTTGTATTATAAATCTCACGTAATCTCTGAAAATATTTAAAAAATTAAAAAGTTTATTCATCTTATTGTAAATCAACAATGGAATGATGCACTTTACAAAATAGAATGATGATCTTGGTTTTCCATGTTTTTTTACCTTTTCTCCTCTCTTTTCATTAATCAGTTCTTAGGGTCCTTCCCTCTTTTCCTAAGGTTGTGTTTAGTTGTAAGGAGGGGAATTTTAACATTACCTTATTTGACTTTATTAGAGAAGAGAGGAGAGTTTTTGACAATCATTTGTTTGATTTAGAAGGAAAAAGAAGAGAAAGTAACAACTAATTTAATATTATATCCTTGTGCATTAGTTTAAAATTTTTTAATAAAAAAATATAACTTTAAATCTTTGTACTTCATTTAAGTTTGTTATAGGTTGCCACACTTTTTTTTCTTAATATTTTAGATCCTTATACCTTTATTTTTTGATGTTTTCGATCCCTTCATAAGTGGTGTAATAAGAATTTAGAACATTAAAAAATAAAAGTGTAGGGGCCCAAAACACTAAAAAAAATATAAAGACCTAAAGTTATGTTCTCTCCTTTTTAATTGTTCTTTGTATAAAATAATTTTACACCTTAATTTAAATTGTATGATTTTTTAAAATTCACTCTCATCCTACCATAGTATCATATTGTCAATATGTATAAAAAAATTTAAATCAATAATTATAATGATAACAATTTTTTAAAAAATAAATTAACTCCCTTCAATATATAATAAAATATGATGAATTGTTTTTTTTTTAAATCACTCTCATCCCATCATATTGTTAATATAATAAAGTGATTAGAATTTTGAATGACTATAGTGTAAAAAAAAATTTAAAATTAAAAAGAATTATAATTTAAAATGGATTTAGATTTGAACCAAGTTTAAATTCATAATTTTATGTGTATCCAAATAAAAGATTTGGTTCAAATTAAAATTTAAATCTAAATCTTCATTAATCCAAACATACGATCATGGCAAGATTTATATACTTAACATTATATATTTAATATATTTTTAATCCAATTAAATTAAAACATGTGAATTTTAATGTATTAATAATTTTTATAACAAAAATTTATTATAAAACAAATCATCTGTGAAACATACACATGTCTTAATTTAATTAAAAATAAGTATTTAAATATAGGAGTTTTCTCTTTTCCTTAATTAGTTTTTAGGGTGTATTTTACGAGGTGAACTACAAGTACTTCATGTTCATAGCTTAAAAATTATTAGGGAAAAATGTCTCTGACTTTTCTTTCGGAGCTAATCAACTTAAATTGAAGCGAGAAGGTGCCTGACTGTTAATTAACTACCGAGCGTGGGTGTTGTTAATTAACGGCGCCTTTCCTTTCCCCCATCCTATCTTAAGTCTTGTCAATTCACCCCAAAAGACGTAATAAAAAAATGATATTGAAAATGGAAATGACAGTCAAAAATAAATCAAACATTACTGGGTTAAGCCGGTTAAATTCCTGTATTCATTTATATGAGTTTTTCATATGTATTTATTTGATTCTAATGCCAGGTTCGGGATGCCTTCCTCGTATGTAACATGTATATCCATTTCCAGCCACCCACGCACACTCCACCACTTTCAAATGAATGATCACAGTGCTTTTACACAACACACAGAAGTAACTGCTCACACACACCGCGTTTGAGTGCAATAAGATGTAAGAAAATAAGGTGTCATGAAATGATACCAGAATGTGACAGTATAGGGCAGATAGTTTAATATTAAACGGGCTTTATACAAAATTCATAACTCCTAAACTATGAGATTTGAAATAAAAAAATTATCTAACATTTTCAAAGGATTTAGATTTAATGATTGTACTTAATATAGGTAATGAGTACTTGTATTATTTAAATGATTAAAATTCATATTAATGACTATGAATTTATATTTCACTTGAAATTAATAAATGAGTGATTGTATTTAAATTATTGATTTAGATTTTAATAGCTTATATGATACAGGTATTTAATACTTATATTAAATAGAGTTATTGAATTCAAATTTCATTTGAACTAATATTTAATAATGTCATGAGAAGAAAATGTTTGGATTTTGTTAACATGTTTCGACTGTAAGTAGAAATGAGCAATTGATGGTTCATGAGATGATCAGCGTTTTAACAACCACGTTCCCATCCCAAGATGACCTTCAATCTCAATACTGGTCACGAAAAGATACGACCTCATTTTCATAATTAACCAAGAAAATCAAACTCTGACTGGCTTCATATAAATACTCAATCAAACCCATAAATCTTCATATCCAAAGCATAACGTACACTTACTCTTGCATTTCCTTTTTTCAAATGGCCTTTGCATTTCTACTGCTTCTCGTTCTCACTTTTGGTACCTCCCTCATTCATTGACATCATTTACAGCGATACTTTTTGCTTCAATCTTTTATCCAATTTTGATTCCCTTGTTTCTTCTTTCTAAACAATGTTACAGGTTATGTAGAATCCGCTACATACTTCCAACTTGAAAACCGGTGCAACCACACATTGTGGCCTGGAGCTCTATCGGGAAACAGTGCCGCAAATCTCGGAGACGGCGGATTCTCCCTGGCACCGGGATTGTCAGTTTTTCTCGTCGCTCCATCGGGTTGGTCCGGACGCTTCTGGGCCAGAACCGGCTGCGACTTCGATGGCACTGGTCAAGGTAAATGTGTCACCGGAGACTGCGGTGGATTGCAATGCCGCCTGGGAGGTGCTCCACCGGTGACGTTGGCGGAGTTCACCCTCGGAACTTCCAGAAACGACAAGGACTTCTACGACGTAAGCCTGGTGGACGGTTACAACGTGGAGGTGGGAGTGCGGGCAATCAGAGGAACCGGTGACTGCCAGTACGCGGGATGCGTCACGGACTTGAACAGCCTGTGTCCGGAAAAGTTGCAGGTGAAGGATGGGGATAGGGTGGTGGCGTGTAAGAGCGCGTGCGCGGCGTTTAGCGAGGCGGAGTTCTGCTGCACAGGTGACCATTCAACACCGGAGACTTGTGGGCCGACGCTATACTCAGAACTGTTCAAGAAGGCCTGCCCAACGGCCTACAGTTACGCTTACGACGACCCTTCAAGCACTTGCACTTGCTCCGGCGCTGATTATGTCGTCACATTTTGCCCGTCCGGATCCTCCTAGCTAGTCCTCTTGTTTCCTATCCATGCGATGATATTATAATTTAAGGCATTTACTTAAGCATCACATCAAGGCTCAAATCCATAAGCGTTATTCATTTGATTACATGATGAGGGACAGTGGTATGATGGATTTAACTTTGAGGATTTTTCGTTAATTATTTCATTACTTTTTTTTTCCAGGTAAATTTCATGCTATTCTTTCAAAGTTTGAATCCCGTGAAAATTTTAACGGAATGGGTTCTTCATGAATATATTTTTCTTTCCAGTTACACACATCCAAATCTTCAAAATAAAGGAATTGATGCTTCAGATAACCCTGAAAAAAATACTTATATTTCGAACTTTCCGCAGGATTGCCCTTTTCACATATATTCTCAACAGGCTAAAAAGTAAAGACAGGAACAATAATATTGTACAGAGAGGGAAATAGATAGAGATCAAGTAAACATGAAACTTTTTGCTCGTTTTCTTTTCAAAGGCCTTCGGCCAGATTAAAGCTGAACCATCTCAAATTCTTTTTCTTTTCGCTTCTTCTAACCCCCCTCCATTTTTCTTTTTACATGCATTTCCTATTTCCTCTACAAAAGGCTCTCCTCTTTGGAAGCCCAACTGTAACCTACTCATCTCATCCTATTTTCCTAACTTGATTCTAAATCTAAGGTGTTACATGCTACCTTCTTTTTCTAAATTAAGAAATTACAAGGCCAACGCATCCCGAAAGAGGAAAATGATTTGACAATTTAACACTAACCTATATCTTACAGATATGCCATCGAGGAACTACCTCTCAAAGAAAAACTAGTTCGCAGACGACTAAACCACCACAGTTGATAAATGATGATTTTATATATTTTTATTATTTTAATTTAAACTTTTAAATATGAATTTGAAATTAATTGAGTTTAATTATTTGATTTTATTAGGCAATATTTAGTTTTTAAAATTTTAACTATTTAAATTTATGATTTTAAAATATAAATGATATTTTAATATTTATGCACAACTACTATTTAATTTTATTTTATTTGTGCATATTTTTTGAATTCAGTTTGGAAGATATCAATAAAGATTATTTTGAATAAAAAGAATACGAGCATGCTTGGAGATCAAATTAAGAATTAAATCTTTAAAATTTTGTTTAAATTTATTTTGGATTATTTAGTGTAGTTTTCAATTAGGATTACTTAGATTAGTTTTATCATTTTATCATTAGATTTCCTTTGGCTGTACGCAATTGCATCACTTTTGTATATATAAAGGAAGCAACGCATACCACGACAGGGATGAGAGAAAACAAAGAATAAGAGTTTTTTGATGTTTAAGGAAGAATTTATTTTAATTTACTCTTCTTCTCTCTATCTTTGAATTTTATGCTTTAATTATTATTGCTGATTAGAGTAATTTTATTACATAATTTTTGGGTTATAAATTTTATCTGAGTTTTTACTTGCTATAATCAATTGATATAGCAACATAAGAGTAATTTAGCTTAGCTTGGATGATTATGCATGCTTTGTTTTTGGTGTGGCTAACTTAGAACAATTGTTAGGTTGTAGGTTGAGGGAGATTTTAATTAATTTATAACTTAATTTATTGTTTAATTCTTGAATAATAATTTAAGAAATATATAATGAAACTAGAATAATAAAGTTACATAAAATTAATTTATTTTGTAAACAAGGAAGATTAAATTTAAGTGATTGAGTTGTGATTGATTACACTGCTTGTGCTTGATAATTTTCTTAGTTGAATTTTCTATATTTATTTAATTCTAATTTAGTTTTAATTTCATCATAAAAAACTCCCATTATTTACCTTTTCATAATCATAATTTAAATAGTTACTCTACTAATTCTTAGAAAAATGATCTAGGTTATGTTTTACTGTAAAATTTAATTTTTATTAATTTTAGTGCTATTCGACAGTAGTGTCAACATTTGACCTGCACTAGTGTACTGACCCTCACCTTCCCCTTTACTACTAAAGAGAGTTTGGTCACAGCAGTCAAGCGAAGCTCCACATGCTAAATTATATGATTGACATGCTGAATGGCATACTTAGAGCCTGTTGTCTCCATCCTTGTCACACTTTTGTATTGATATCTGCATATTAAGAACCAAGTTCATCAGCTATTATGCTAAAAAAAGAAAGAATCTGAACAAAATTTTTATTAGATAAAACAAATCGCACCCAGCACCAGCAAGCTAGCCATTTAACAGCTTTGTCATAGTAAGTGCTGCCAAATATATTAAATAATTTCCTAGCATCACTAGGGAATAAGTGGTTGTAGTTAGGCATGACAACCACATCTTTTAGCTGCTGCTGCACACTTAGTTCACTAGGAGCACAATATTATCCCGACAAGTCATTTCCCAGTACATTTTTGCAAAACTAACAGACTTGATAAGAGCGTCGAGCTGTTTTGGCATGTGTATCCCACGTAGTTAGAACAACAAAATTCACAAACTCCATTATCACAAACCCCCCCGTGTAGGCTACATTGCTCGTCACAAATGATTGCATATATGTGACAGCAGGTGGAGGGGGGAAAATAAAAAAAGACGTGACAAGAATTGAGTAAATGTTGTTCCACATTGAAACTATTATTTAACAAGACTAATTGAATCTTCCTGCCTCAGTTAAACTACATAAAGGAGACCCAAGTTAGTTATCCTAAAGAGACTCAACTATAGTACATGTTAGCTTTTGCATATATAATTCGCTTCATATCATCATATGGAATACAATTCTTCAAAAAGCCCGCCCTTAACATGCTATATATTTTTGCAATACTTTGGGTAACTAGCTATGAGATTGAAGACATATCTAATCACAATGTTTTGTTTAGAACTTATTACTACATAACAGTTGAATAGCCAATGCTAGAATACCCATTTTTACATTCACAAATCCCATTAGAGAGACACTTGTCGTTACCATTGCAATTTCTGGGGCAGGATCTCAAAATGAAATTAAATAATAGGATTTATTTTGGTTCCAGCACTTAAACCCAGAACACTAAGGTTCATATATCAAGGGAAAAAAGAATTTACTTTAAAAAACAAGAAAAATGTTGTTTCCATAGAGAGAGTAATTCAATAATTGAGGCACAATGAAAATACAAGTTAAAATATAAAGCAGGATATGAGAACTCACATTTGCTACAATCTTGACCATGAAATCTAATAAAGCAGTGACAACTTCCATCAATCCAATCTCCATTGAAATTACATTCATTAGGACATTGCCCAGGCATCACAAGTCTATCAATGCTATGGAGTTCATGGTATGTAGGGCATATTAATTCACCTATGGATGAGTAATTTACAGAGTAAGATGTCAATTTACTGAGAAACCAACAACCCCAATGCTAGAAAAAAAAACATACAAAATAAATGAAAAATAAAATAATAATAATATTAACCATTAAGGCTAGGGAACTGAATGGGTCCACCAACTTGAGGACATACTTTCCAAATACCATCAACTACAACCAGTAGGTCACATAACAGAACCATATTTAGCAACAAGTTCAATAAAAGCCACAAGGTTGGAGGTTGAGCATAGTTTGAGAGGGAAAAATATAGAAGAAGCACTTAAAGATTCAGCCTCCCTAGATCAATATCTTAAAAAATGGTTACCCCATTACCATCACCATTTAAATTATACGTGGAGTTGCATGATGGGAAAATTTTATTCTCTTGATAATCCTAAGTCAGCCACACCTCCAAAGAATTATTGGCACAGCTATGTTGATAATAACCATTTCCTTGGGTCATAAAACCTCGCACAAATCCTGTGCATACTAAAGTAGAGGCCATACACCTATATTAAAATGGGAAACAAATTAGCAACTTCATGCCTTTAAATTTTAAATACTTGATGAAAAGCATACAGGAGTTGGAAGCTAGCAGTCACAAATCTGACCTAGAGTTGGTCCCTCAAACTTCACCCAGCATTCAATCAGGTGTGCGTGAATTGTTGACATTTGTACAAGACCCGTTTGAATATGCAATAAAATAAGTACAATAATCAGCCAATGAAGATTGTCCACCTATAACAATCGGTGAGCAAGTCACCAAAACTTATGACTGTTGAGTTTATTGCTTTACAGTAACCGCACACTGCTTACATTGAAAAAGAAAATAGTGGCAACTTAAGAATCTTTACTGTATATTGGAACTATAGAAATAGAAGCTACATATGAATTAGAAGGCAACGACATGAGATGTAAATTAATTGCTTAATAATTAGTAGTGAAAAAGTTGGCATAGAATAATGATAAAGAGACAAGCCATCACTCAACATATAATGGATTAACATCAACCAACCTTCATGGATATGAAGGCGTAATTCCACATACCTTCATTAGCTTGTGGAAAATAGTGAGCCCACTGAGGTAGGTCTCCACTGTATGTAACAATTGGGCAGTATCCCTCTGCCTCCCTATTATACATACAACTAGACAACTGTGCTTTATTGCAATGTTAGGCCCCCTTCTAAAAATTGCAAGGGGAGGTAACAAATTCAGTACCTTAGTTACGACCCCAATCAAGATAGTCTGCCATGCTATAATTAGCATGGTACCATCTACTATCTACTAAGAGAGCTAAAGTCATTTTTGAAACCATAAATCTTGTATCCACAGAACTGGTCATAATCCCATTCATTATAAGCCTTTTTTCTCGGTGACATCCTATCCACACATCTCTTGACTTCGTCAGTAGGTGGCAGAAGTACAAGTTTAAGGACATTGCACATGGTTTTCTCACTAAACAATAGTTGCTACTTGCAATGTTTTTATTTAAATTTCTAATCTAAGTACTTCCAGCCAGGATTTTAAAGGAGCAAAGGTGGCAAGCTTGTACTTGATTTAGTCTTTTTACCAAAAAAGGAGACACCTCTTAATCACTTAATTTCTCATTTACTCCCTCCATTAAAAAATGTAGGCATTTTTAACATCTCACCCCCAATAAGTAGTTATTTGTCTTTAAACTAATTCTATCTTTTTATATTTATCTTTATTTAATAGGTTGTTTCACCCTAAAATAAATATAAAGTGATTTATTCAATAAAGGTACTTTAAGGGAAAAAAAGATAATGATTACAT